AGAGACAGAGACAGAGACAGAGAGAGAGACAGGGGGGGTGAAGAGAGACAGAGAGAGGGGAGAGAGAGGGAGAATGAGAGAGAGCTAGATTCGGATTAGTTAGTAAACATTAATATAAGAAGTGCAGGAAAATATACTCAAAATCTGTTAGTATCTAGAATAAATTGCTGCGTCTGTTTGGCTATTAGGGTGTTTTCTTGATACGACAATTCACTTTTACCGTATAGTAGTAGCTGCAAGTTAAGTGGAATGAAATCATTTAATTCGCGGTAGAGTTTAATTCTCTGATCTACATAATTATTGCAAGTAAAAAAGAAGTGATATGTATCTTCGATAGGATGTCCACATTGACAGTGCTGAAAATCTATTAAATTAGCATGAAATAAGTGATTGTTTAAGGTACTAGAGTTATTTCTCAATCTGGTGTGTAAAATATTACTTTTTCGATCACCAAGGAGATAATATATAGGGACTTCTGAAGTATTAAGCCTGCGAAGAGTGTCTTTAAAAGCTGTATATGAAACGCTGTGTCTTATATTAAGGTCTAACTGGTTCCAGAGTCGGATTGTGGAGGGGAAAAAGGACAAATTTGTTAATTGAAGTCGTGAATTAGGTATACAGTAATTTTCAGCATTACGGAGGTTATAGTGTGTGCTTTCTGAAATTGTAGGGGGAAGTAAAGAGGTAAGATAGTTAGGTGTAAGATTCTTATGGATTTTGTAAAATAGTTGTAATTTCCGCCGAGTTCTACGTTCAGATAACGTTTCTAGACCAGTTTCAAAATACAATGATTCTCTACTTGAGTAAGATGGTAACCCGGTGATAATCCTTACAGCCTCAAGCTGAAGTTTTTCTAATTTGTCTGCGTCACCGAGAGTGCACCCATCCCATACCTCACAACAGTATTCTAATAGAGGAAGAATGTACGATCTGTAAATTTTACTTAAAGTTCTTCTACTCAAAATAAATTTCAATTTACGTAAAACGCTTAACTGTTTCGATACTTTTATACAAATATTTTCAATATGGGTACTCCACTTACAATTTTCATCCAAAATTACTCCAAGGTGCCTATGATTGTCAACAAAATCAACACTAACGTTATTAAATTTTAAATCGATAAAATACTCGAGTTCAAAGTTAGAGATCAGTAAAGCTTTCGTTTTTGCAGGGTTGAATTTAACCAGCCAAATTTCAGCCCAATTTTGAATTTTTTCCAAATCATTATTGATCTTAGTTTCGATAATCTGGGGGGATGCATCAGAACATAATAAAGACGTATCGTCAGCAAATAATTTAGACAAGCTTTCAAGATTATCAGATATATCATTAATATATAAAATAAAAAGTAAAGGGCCTAGTACTGAGCCTTGAGGTACTCCAGCATTAGTAGTTTTAATAGAAGACTTATCATTACCAATACAAACTTGCTGTCGTCTATTACTTACATAATTACTTAACCAGGCTAATAACTTTCCCGATATACCATAACTAGCTAGTTTCACTTTCAGTCCCTTGTGCCACACACGATCGAATGCTTTAGATATATCACAAAAAACTAAACAGGTAGGATGTCTTTTTTCTAAATTTTCACATAAAGTGTGGTAAATTTCTATCATTTGATGAACAGTAGAGTGACCAGGTTGAAATCCAGATTGGAATTTATATATTAATGAATTATCTAACAAATAGTTGTTTAAATATTTTACAATCAATCGTTCAAAAACTTTACCAACATTGCTAAGTAATGATATTGGTCTATAATTAGCAGATTCATGTTTATCCCCCTTCTTAAATAAAGGCATCACTACAGCTTGTTTCCACTGGTTTGGAAAGATACCAGAATCCAAAGAAGATCTAAATATAAGGGATAGAGGGAGAGCTACTGAACTTGCTGTATTTTTCAACATATTGTAGCTAATGGTGTCGCTACCCACAGCTTTATTAATATTTAAAGATTTTAAAATGTCTATAATGTCATTCATGTGGAACGGTATGTCAGATAAAGTTGAGTCTGTCCGAAGTTCTACTGTCGGTACGTCAATGTTAGTATCATCGATTGTCGAGATGGAAACAAAGTAATCATTTAGAATATTAGCTTTGGTATCGTTTGCCATTTCTAATTTTCCGGTTTTGTTTCTCAGGGGAGGTATACTATTAGAATTATCTGAAGTTTTTATTAATCTGCGGACAATTTTCCAAAAATTTCTAGGGTTCGAATCAGAGTATTGATCTAAAATGCCATTGATGTCCGCGTAAAACAAATCTTTTGTCCTTTTCTTAAGATTATTCACATGATTCCGTTGTTTCCGAAAATTAGTCAAGTTATTTGGAGAACGATTAGATTTAAATAAGTGCAATAGTCTGTCTCTTTTCCTGATTTCCCGTCGTAAGTTAGAATTAAACCATGGTTTGTCATTAGGTCGAATCGTCACTAATTTTGTTGGTATGCATTCCCTGGCTAGGTTCAAAAAAGCCGTTGTAAATATTTCACACTTATCATCCAGGGAGTGCACCCGCGAAAATAAGTCTGTCCAATCTGTCTCATCTAATTTGTGTTTAAATAATTCGTAATTTGCGTCACTATAAAGAGTTATTTTCCTTTTATATGTCCTTTCAATATTTGTCCCAACAGTCAATTCCACGGTCGTCGCTTGGTGATCTGAAATGTCTTTGTCTATGTCTATTACGTCAGCGAACGTAAAAACACATGTGTCGGAGAGTAGAATAGGGTCAAGCAGGGTAGAGCACGTGCGTCCAATGCGAGTCGGTTTGTTAATAACGTTTGACAAGTGAAAGGAATTTATAATATCGTAAATTACATGAGTGTTTTCTACAACTAAAAGATTAACATTTATATCTCCAACTATCACAACATACGGAGTTTCGTGTAAGGCAGTTTCCAGAGAGAAACGAAAATGATTCCAGAAGGAGAATGTGCTATTAGGAGGTCTATAGAGTGTACAGAGGAGGTATTTCTTATTTGGAAACTGGATATCTGTCCAAACCACTTCACCCACCCCAAATTCCAAGTCAGCTCTACGACGGGTGCACAAGAGACTGGATGTGTAAACAGCTATCCCCCCACCCGGAGACCCACGGTCTTTGCGGTACAATTCATAGCCACCTAGGAGTATATCGTCGTCTGCTATAGATATATCAAGGTGAGTCTCGGTGACACAAACAATATCATAGTCAGTTGCTACATGTTCTAAATACGATAACTTATTTCTTAGACTGCGAATGTTCAAATGAAATATAGAGATATCGTTACTATGATTTGTAGGGCCTGGGTTAGGATGAACGTCATTACAAGATAGAAGGAGGAGATGTAGTAAGAGAAGGAAACTTGAGTTGTTGATAACACTAGATAGGGTGAGATGTACAGCGTATAGGAGATTTACTATAATATACAATACACCTGACTTGCAGCTTGTAAATATTTGTTGTAAATCAATGTGGAATAACAACTTATGTTTAGACAATGCACCGTGTGTGCGTTGGTAGAAACAACCGACCGCCACCCGATACTGAACTAAATCATTACCCATGATCGTCAAACATTAATACAGAATGTATAAAGAGGCGGTCGACCGTGAACACCACGCGCACACACAAGTGTTTTACTACACAACGAAAGCACTCAGACATGAAGGTTCGATAGTAGGGGTCAAGATAGGACAGGTCAAAGTTGAGAAAGGTGAAAAGGGGAGGTAAAAACATATAAACAAAGAAGAATTTAGCACACATGGAAAACAAAGCTAAGATGTTAGGCTGGATGGTGAAGTGCCTAAACTTGTTTTATGATACTAATGTCTATAATGTGACAATAATGCTTAATTTGGTTTACACTTGCAGAGATGTTTACATTATATATACAATCATACCCACAATGTATACATACATATATATATACCATCATACCCACAATATATACAAGCGCACTATAAATGAACAATCATACCCACAATGTATACATACATATATATATACCATCATACCCACAAGATATACAAGCATACCCAATATATCCAATCATACCCCCATATTCTAACACACAGCGTTTGGGTGTTCTACATGCAAACATACAGATTGTCACAATTTCTCCATTATTTTACTGGTATTTTTGTTTACACACATACATATAAAACATATGTTTTCCTATATATATACACACATTGTACATCTGATATACATTATAACTAGATACTAATATACAAGTATTATCTACAATATACAGCCCTTACACAAAGAGAAGTGTAAACATTGTATATTACATTATACATTATAACTAGATACTAATATACAAGGACTAAACACATAAACCAACAAGCTGTCCCGGACAGGACTAAACACATAAACCAACCAGCTGGCACGGGCAGGACTAAACACATAAACCAACCAGCTGGCACGGACAGGACTAAACACATAAACCAACAAGCTGTCCCGGACAGGTCTAAACACAGAAACCAACAA